GGGGGGTTCGTTGCCATTCCTGGTGCTGTTTTTCCGGTTCCCGCTCGGCAGCAGGTGGGTGAGCAGGGGGTGGGGATGAAAGAGCATCTTCATCTCCGGCTGTCAGAGGGAGTGGGCGGCTGCGTTTACCCTCGGCGCGGGGACGGGGAGATGCGATAGCCGCCATGCAGCAGCTTTGCCTTCAAAGGTAGCTGCTGCCTCCGACACCGACGAGGGCAGAGGAACCGGCATCAAAGCAGCCAATTAGTTTTGAAGTCGGGCTCAGCCTTGGCGTTGCTCAGGCGAGAAGTACCCAGGGTCTGAGGGAGAGGAATGTGCTGCGATAGCGTTGCCTATTAAACCGACTTTAAAAGCAAAGCGAGAAGCTGCTCAGCTTTGCCTTCAAAGGTAGCTGCTGCCTCCGACACCGACGAGGGCAGAGGAACCGGCATCAAAGCAGCCAATTAGTTTTGAAGTCGGGCTCAGCCTTGGCGTTGCTCAGGCGAGAAGTACCCAGGGTCTGAGGGAGAGGAATGTGCTGCGATAGCGTTGCCTATTAAACCGACTTTAAAAGCAAAGCGAGAAGCTGCTTCATTTCCACTCTCCCCATGAAGGCTGAGTAAACTGATGCGCCTCAAATACATCCTAAGAATGACTCTGTCCCCTGAGGAAATCACGGTGCCTAGCCCCTCATCTGCTGGATGACTAAGCTCAGAGAGAATTGGGTCTCTAGCTCCTAAATATCTCTAAAAAGCTGGCCTCTACATTCTTGATCTCGAAAGGAGGAGCTCAGCAGTCCACCCCACTGCAGGTACCTGGAGCACACAAAAGCCCTCTCTAAGGCAGAACAACATAAGCATTTCTGATGTAAATTAAAAGCAAAGATAGCAAAGGGAGGGTTGGAGGTTTTCTTTTAATAGAACTATTAATAAAGAGCCTTGCAGGCTGTGCAGCTTGATGCCTTCAGCAGTCTGAGGCATCAGTTAATGGCCTTATAAAACACAGCCTGGTGTGTCTTCCTGAGCCTGTGAAAAAGCAGCGAGCAACAGAGAACATTTAAGCTGTTTTGCCTCTAAATCCGGTGTTCACTTCCCCGGGAGTGCAGGGAAGCTCTTGCAAGTGGCTCCCTGGTTGGGTTGTCCATGAGGCAGCCACGGAAATTGGTCTGCGTGTGCCACTGGCAGAGCATCGCTGAGCAAGGACTTGCAACCAAAATAGCCGTGTGTGAGCACTGGGGCTTGGGGCAGGGCTGGGGTTTAGCGAAGTGGAGGTGAGTAGCTTTTCCTGGGTGCTGCTGGGAGGCAGGGGATGCTGCTTCGCACTGGAACAAGATTCCTTTGGCCACAAGCTCCCCTCTCACTCTGAGCTGGCAACACGTGGTGTGAGGTCAGCCCCGTGCTTGTGCTCTGCTGCCCTTGGTATAACCATGCCATGGGGCTGGAGGGGGCTGGAGTGGGTGTCAGGGCAATCTAAGAGGGAGCAGGTTCCCATCTGAGGTCGGGAGAGGGTAGGAATCAGCTGATGGATTCAGTTGAGGAAGCTTTCCCCTTCCTCTGTTACACACGGTGCGCGCTGCTTTCTGCCGCAGATGATCAAGGCGCTGAAGAAGGCGATGGCGCCGGTCCTGAGCGACGTGTCTGTGGAGTGGGTCTTTCCTGAGAGCACTGAGGTCTTGGTTTCTCCCATCAGCACCAGTTGCCTCTTCCCCGGTGACCGCCTGGTTGGCTACAGCATCGTCTGTGACACCTCCCTGTACATCTCCAACCCCAGATCCGTGAGTGGGCGCTCTGCTGGCTGGGGGGGCTGTCCCGGGGGGGTTTGGGTACGTGAGCAGGCGTCTGGGCTCTTTGTGTGTGGTCAGGAGACGTCTCTGGCTTTCTATCTTTGTCCTCAAGGGAGGTGGTGGGTGAGACATCATGGGGAAATTGGAGCTCGGTGGATAAGGACGCTGGTGCCCAAACAGTGGCTCCTCTTGGCTGGGAGGTGGACACGGTGGTAGGACCTGTTTTCTCTCTCTGCTTCCCCCCAGGATAAAAGGCGACGCTACAGCATGATGCATTCCCAGGAGTCGGGCAGCTCCGTTTTCTTTCACTCCCAGGATGAAGGAGCAGGCATGGAGACCTGGAACCACTCCAGGGACTCAGAGGGCTGCTGTCCCGCTGAGCGTGTCCCAGATCGCCTGGTGGTGGGCAGAGATCCCGAGGGAGAATCGGACACGGACGCCGGTCAGATTTTCCTCTGTACAGGCGTGGGTGTGACGCCCCTGTCTTTCTAATCAAGCTTCTGTCGCTGCTCTGCCAGTCTGCTTGTCTGACAAATAAGTCTCTTCAGCTGTATCTCTGCAAAGAGCCGGAGGGGTTTGCAGGAGGGATGACAGATCTCCCGGGGCTTGAGTGAGTCTGTTTGGTTTGGATGTTTTATCCAAACCTGTCAGGAATCATGGGGAGCGCTGGAGAACTGCGTTCGCTGGAGACTTCCAAAGCAGCTCTAGCTTTGGCCGCAGAATTATTTACAAGCTTCCCAAACTGCTCTCCAGCACGCGGAGAAGGAGAGGAGAGAGGGAAGGGGTGGCCCAGCCAGGCTGTCCCTGCACCTGCAAAGCAGCCGTTTCGCTGCAAGCCCTGATGCTGCAAGTTCAAGGCCACAAGACGGGGGGAATGGATCCCAAGTCTTGTCCCCAGCATGTCACCCCTCGCCGTCACAGTTTGGCTGTGAAGCAGCCGGTTGTGGCCCAGAGCTGGTCAGAAGGAAACCCTCTGTTACTCACGGGACGTTCTTCGTTTGTACTCAGAGGGGAGCTGTGCTGCGCATCCCCTCAACCTTGTCAGAAGCAATGAGAAATCCTGCCTTTCCAAATGAGATTTTACTCTCGCTCTGACAGGAGAGTGTCTGCGCTAATGAAATTTCATTAGTAAACCTTTTGTCTTCTCCAGGGAGGAGGTTTGGGGAAATGCAGTCAGGCTTTTTTTGTCTGGCTGAAAACTGCTCAGACAAAACCTCCCCAGTCTGCTCTCCTGACTTCGCCAGGAGTTTTGAGTGTAGGCTCTTATTTTCTTCTATGGTTTTGTTGCTTTGCTTAAAACCATGCAGGGCTGAGCGTGGCACCTTCGGCCACCACGAGCCAGGGGTGGATGGTGCTTGCTGGTCCCCTCGAGCAGAGCTGATCCCCTTTCTCACCATGCAGGAACAGACGTGAAGGCTTCCTCCAGGAGACGGGCGTACAGCACCACCCAAATCGCCGACCACCAGCCTTGCAAGAAGGTGCCCACGGCCAGCGATCCCGGCACTGCCCTGTTGAAAAACCCCCTGCGCAAAACCCACCTGCAGAACCTGCAGCAGGTCAGCCCCGAGCCCTGGCAGGTGGAGTTCCAGGTACGTCACCCCATGGGCAGAGGCCTGTGTGCCACAGAGGTAAAGTTCAGACGTGCGAGGGAAAGATCTCGGCTCACACAAGTCCTCAGATAGATATATAGATATAGATATAGATATAGA